CCCTCCCCCCTCCCCCCGCCCCCCTCATTCTTCTTCTTTTTCCTCCTCCTCCTTCACATTAACTAAACCCTAGCAGAGATGATGTTTTGTATGTATAAAATAAATTGATTGATTCATCTGACAATATAATATGGTAATCTGTCTTGTTATGATTAGATGATGTTCAGGGCTTTGTTTAGTGGTGATATTAATCAATCACGGTGGGAGTCAAACCCACATTTGCTAGCTTTCTATTTTGATGACGTAATTATGTCAATTGATTATTTTGTGAGTGCAATAATGTTCAATATTTAATATCTTTCCTATTTAAAATATGTAAATGTTTATTATTTTGGTTGCATTTAAATATTTTAAATTTGTAAAGTTAAAACTTGAATATTTAAGAGTAATCAAAGTATTAAACTAAAATATTTGTTTATTTTTTATATTGTTCGCTTTGTTTCGATGAAGGGTTCGCTTCGTTTCTCGCCTAGGCCCTCAGGAGACCGGTTTGCTTTACGCCTTAAATAACATTGGTGCTATTTTATAATTGCTTATCGTAATTCTTACGTGATAATGTAGGAGATGACTCTTGAAGAGTATGAGAAGGTGCTCGAAGAGAAGAGGAAGGCTCTTCAAACACTTAAAACCCAGGAAAGGAAGGTTGATGTCAAGGAGTTTGAATCCATGCAACAAATTTCAAACAAGAAGAACAATGATGACATTTTTATCAAACTGGTGAGATACCATGCACTCGTTAAGCATTTCTACATACTCGTCAAGGGTTAACTCTGTAGTTAGTAATGACAATCTTATCTAGTACTTGTTATTGCCTAATGCAATTATATGAGGTACTTGTTATTTCAAAGAATTTTTTTGAGGTACTGATCATATTCCATTTCATTTGTTTAAAAGGGCTCTGACAAGGATAAGCGAGCCGAGAAAGAAGAAAAAGCCAAGAAGGTATTGCTACTTACCCGTCCCTTGTTTATTGCTATACATGCATTATTATATATGCTTGGGATGTCTGGATACTCCAAGGAACTCTGTCAGACCTTGTATTCAAAATATACATATTGCTTGTGCTCTAACCTTTACCATTGGCATTCCATTTCTTTATATTTGCACTTCACTGTCTGTGTCAGTTTTGTCAGCTTATTCGCTAATCTTCCTTGCTTGCTCTATATTTGTGTTCATGGTTCTTCATTTGTTTGACTTCTGGTCCATGAGTGATGTAAATCACCAAGAATCTGAAACTCAATCTTTGTATGTTATGTTTGCAGAGTGTTTTCTGCTCACCATTTTATATAGGAAGATCATAGTTGTCAAATTTGGCCTGCCCACTGGATTGTGAACATGATACCTCTTATTGAGAAAATTTGGACATGGCTTGCCAAAAAATGTCCGTTTAAAAATCTGAAATTTTCTATTCGATCATGTTAATTATTCTTGGGCTACTGAAATTTGCATTCGTACATCAGACCAACAGAACCTCTACCCACTTGCTTTGGCTCGCTTTGAGTTAAGAGTAGGTAACACATTCTGTCTCTGTGTTTCTATGGCATTCTAACTCATCATTATCATGTTCCATTATAGATATTTTGTGCGGGTTCGGGATAATCCTTTGTTCGATGGTTGGGGGCACTTTTTACAACTAGCCAACTAAGAATTCTCAAGTGTACTAGAACTAACAGTATAAGTACAGATGCAGCCATCAATTTTTTTGAGGCTCCATGACTGACACAAGCAAACATGTTAATGGTGAGGGATCATTTTTTAATGCTGACTAATACTTGCGCCTGATTTACTACTGCCCAAGCCTGTCCAGTTGTGGCTAATATGCTTGAAGTTAGGAGTGCCTGCCACAAGCAGCGGTGCATGATAAGCATTGCTGTTAGGTNATCCCGTTCTTGTGTTCTCACACTGAAATAAATCCTTCCATGTATGAAGTAATTGACATATTTTTCCAACTTGAACCTTCTCTGTGTTGGCACCTGTAACTTGACACCTATGGTTTGTTGAATCACTGTTATGCCGCTATACGATCTTATCATGATAGGCTCTTAATATTTCCTAGGTTTTGTAACTTGTTTCTCCTATGGCAATTTTCTTTTAGATTAAAAAATAGCTTTGACCATCTCTCTCCTGTGTATCTTTTACTGGCGAAAATCAGCTGCTGGATATTTGTCCCATCCTTCGTTTTTGTTGTATATGTCATGTTTTCATAAATACTTGTTTTTGACGAGAGATAGAGTCGGGAATGAGAGGAGCCCATAGTAATGTTGTTTGATTTAGGTCTTTGGAAAAGTAAAATTACTACAATGCCCTTACAAGAAAGAATTGTTTTGATGATTTGCGTTACAGATCTCCAGGTGTGCCAATGGGAGAGCTTGTGGCCCTTGTCAAGTAGTGCCCCATTTGTAGCTTCACCCGTTAGGGAGAGCATGCTGAAATTCAGAATTAAGCTCCTTATTTCATTTTTGGAATTCCTTGATATGGATTAAATATCCTGTCTTCTGCTGTTTCCTGCAATTGGGCATGAGAACTTTGTAGTGAGAGCTTCAGCACTTCCAAAATGCTGACTTCTCTCCAAGAGCGGCATTAAATTTTTTATGATTTTGAAAACAATTTATTAGTGTTAAATATTTTTTTTTTTTATGATAAATGTGATTTTGGTCTCAACTCC